CAATTCCATCTGCCAGCTTTCCAAACCTGGCGAGTCCTTTTGTTTTTCTGTGAGGTATTCATTGCTTTTCCCTGATTATGTCTGATTTTCTGTCTTATATACTTTTCTGATCACCATTCATGACACTTTACATCTTGCTCCTGTAGCAACATCCCATGTCCTTGTGTGTTCCAGACTTTTATCGCATGAACAAAGGGTATAATTTAAGTAATAAATAACAAAGTGAATTTGGATATTAGGTTAGAGAATAGCTCAATAGAAATGGTAAAATTTAACGTTTTCTTTCCATAATATTCAGAATTAATATATTCCTGCTACATGGAGTCCAACAGTCACACTTATAAACGCAATCCTATGTATTTTATTGTTATTTTTTGTTATTTTAAAGATTATACATATGAATATTTTCTGTACTTGTGAATTGCTATTTTATGTTATCCTGCATTGTATTCTGGCTTGTGTATGAATCGACAAATGAACAGACTCAAGAATGGAACCCATTCACAACTGGTGAACAGCCTGTAGCAAAGAAAAATTCTCGATTAAGGACCCACCATCCATGATTAACTGGAGAAGTTAGGGAAAGCATAAAACCTAAGGAGAAAACACATAACCATGCAAAGATTAGTGGTAGGTCAGACAAGTCTTCAGAATGTTAAGTGTGGTGGAAAATGATGGAAATGTTAATCCAGAGGAATCACTTGAGTTTTGGTCCTCTAGAGAGAATGAGGAATTAATACTAGGCAATAAGGAAATTGCCGATGAAATTAGCATATCTTGCTTCTGTCTTCATTATAAAAGATACAAAAGCATTCCAATAATGGTAGAAGGGAGAGAGGAATTTAGTGACATTATAATCTTAAAGGAAGCTTACTGAGCAAATTGATGGAACCATGGCTCACAAACCTCCAGGTCTAGATGGTCGACTTTCTTGAGTCTTAATTGAGGTAGTAGATGTGTTGCTATTAATATTCCAGAATTTGCTTAATTCGAAAAAGGTTCCATTGAACTGAAAAGTAGTGATATAATCCCTCTATTCTAAAAGGGAGTGAGGCAGAAAACGGGAACTGTAGTTAGTTTTGTTACTGTTGTGAGGAAGGTGTTGGAATCAATCATTAAAGAAATTTTAGCTATACACTTAGAAAAAACTCAAAATAAACATGAAGAGTCAGTATGATTTCAATAAAGGAAAATCTTTTGAGGGATTAACACAAATTGTGAGTAAAGGGGAACCTGTAGACCTCCTAGGATTTCTTGAAGACTTTTACTAAGATACATATCAAAGGTTAGTGCAGATAATTGAAACTCATGTTATAGTGGTTACCATATTTAGTGTGGTTAGAAGTTTGGCTGGTTGGCTGTGTTGGGGCCTCAACATTTTACAATTTACAGCAATGACTTGGAAGTGAGAAGAGGGAAGCCAAACTTTGGAAGCTAAATTTTCTGACAACACCAAGACGGGCAAGTAAAATGTGAAAAATATGCAAGGGGATGCAGGTGGATATATATGGGTTGAGTGAGTGAGCAAAAATCTGACAGATGGGTATAATGTGGGAAAATGTGAAGTTGTTCACTTTGGCAGGAAGAATCAAAAAGCAGCATATTACTTAAGTGGGGACCGCTTGTGGAATTCTGAGGCACAGAAGGATTTAAGTTTCTCTCGGGCATGAGTCACAAAAATATTTAGTATGCAGGTATAGCACAATCAAGAAGGCCAATGGGATGCTATCCTTTCGTGAGGAATTGAACATAAAAGTAAGGAAATTGTGATACAGTTACACATGGCATTGGTGAGATCCTGTCTCAGATATTGTGTGTGGTTTTGGTCTCCTTATTTAAGGAAGGATGCAACTGCGGTGGAGGTGGTTCAGAGGTGATTTCATAAATTGGTATGTGGAATGAGTGGGTTGTCTTATGAGGAAAGATTACAAAGGCTGAGCTTGCTTTCAATGAAGTTTCAGAAGAGTAAAGGATGATTTAAGATTGTTCAGGATCTTATTCTTTCCAAATCTCCCTTGTTAAGTCTATCTTTTCTTGTGGGTGCATCCAAAAATAGGGGACCCTGTTCTAAAGTTATGGGTTGACCTTTTAGGACAGCTGAGAATTTTTTTCTGAGGGTTGTGAGAGTTTGGACCTCTCTACTTTGGAGGTGGTGAAGGTGGGGTCTATTAACTATTTTAAAGGCAGAAATGGCTAGATTCTTGTTAGGCATGGGATTCAGATTTCATCAGCTCAGACGGGAGTGTGGAATTTAAAACGCAAATAAATCATCCATGATCTTAGTGTATGGCAGAGCAAGCTTGAGGACTGAATAGTCTGTTTGAATATTCATAAATAATGTTTGTTTTTGTTGAATTAACATTCTGGTATCAATGCCAATCAATTTTTGTAAATATGCACCAATTATCTTTTCATAAATACTCTTTTTGCAGTCCGTTGTTTTTCAACCACATGGATCTATTAACCACAATTCTAGTTACTAGTCTGCTTCTTAGAATCTTAATGCCTTCCAATTTGCTGACCATACCCTTTAGTGCAAAGACATTTGACCTGGATACCCATGATTGATCTTGCGTCAAAAATGCTTAGTCTCACATTCCACTTTATCCAGAATTTCCTTACTGTCAAGTATCAGTTCAACTCCCTTTTAAAATTATTTAAGGAATTAACTTTAACTTCTACTTCACATGGATCGGTCTTGGTGTTAAGTAAGAAAAAATACATCTTTCCAGATTGTTTGCCAGTGTTTTTAACCCTATGACCAACATTCCCTTTAATTTTTCCTGCTGCTATGCAGGCTTCCAAGGTCTATGTCGTGTAGCATTTTCCACATCGGGAAGCTGTGCATTGGCACCTGAATGTGTGAAGTGTTTCCCTATGGCTACACAGCTGTGCAGCTTAGAGGGAATATTGCCTATGACTCTGGTTATTGAACCTTTGCCATTCAAGGAAAAATAGCTTTTTAATGCTTGCAACTATTCCCTTCAAAGGAATATGGCTTGTTTATATCTGAACTCTCTCTTCCTGCTATGTCCATCACTGATCGGTTTTTTTCCATCTGGCTGTTGCTTTTCCCAGTGGACTTGTGCTGGGCTTCTTCTTCAATTACTGAAACTAGTAGCTGTTTACCAGGTCAGCATTTTTATTTTTGATGTGAGGTTACTTTTTGAGAAGGTTGAGATGAAGCTGTAGATAGAATAAAATTATTACCTTTGGTCAAGAACCAGACCAAACAGATTTAAGATGAATGGCAAAAGAATCAAAATCAACTTGAATTTTTTTTAATGTAGCAAGTGGCTAGGATCTGGAAAGCACATTCTGAGGGGATGGTGGAAGTTAATTCAATTATGCCTTTCAAAAAGATATTGAATAAATATATAGGGGTAAAACATTTGCAAGCATTATAGGCTGGAAAATGGGACTGTTGGAATTGCTATTGCAGACAGTTGATGGGTCACTTTGCCTCTTTGTTGTAACTGTTCTATGATTTTCTATTTTCTGGTCTCTTTCCATAATTACTTGAAACAGAATTATGTTGTGGTCACAGTTAGCTAAATGATCTCCTACTGTAACAGATTCCATTCACCCTACTTCATTTCCCAAAATCAGATTTAACACAGCTTCCTTCCTTGTTGGATTACAGATGTAATAATTAAGATCTATCCTATTTGTTTCTTCAATCTCAGCACTCCCATAACATTCTAACCACAAATTCCATTTCCTCCTTCATTCTCTCACTTAAAATACATCTGTTTAAACCATTTCCTTACTTACATCTGCAAAACCATAATTAGGCTCTGATTAGTTGCTTTAGGACATTGTAGCTAAAGGATCCTATTGTAGGCCTGTATAAAATCAAAATGTTAAACTATCATATTCTCTCAACCAACAAGTTAGGTACAGGATTTGTGTTGCTCTTCTAATTAACTATTTCTACACTGATCTACAGCAGCTATTGAATCTTTATTATCAAGTTCTCCTGTATTAGTAAACAAAAAGGATCCAGAAATAACAAATGCAATAAAGTAAGATGACATAAAATGTACAAGTTTTGAATGTACTTAAGAAAATTTCTACAGGAAAAATTGTTACCTAAAGTTTCTCACTGAGCTGATGAATACAAAGCATTATCTTGGTGTGCGTCCCTTATAACATTAAGCAAGTTCTGTGAACAAAGAATGGTTTCCATGGAGAGCATTGGAAGCCCACGCACTTATGTCTTTGTTGAGACGTGATAGGTGTAAATTTTCAGATCTCAAGGAGTAATTAAAGGTCTAGAAAATAGTTACCTTCAGCATTCCCTGGCCTAGTCCCATCTGGGCATACAGTCTGTGAGGATATCTTTACCACTTCCCCCTGTATGGCACTTTATCAATCTGCACGGAAATATTTCCAATCAGAATGCAAATTGAATATAATGTTCTGCTATTTCAATCATGTCATTTTCCGTGCCCTACTTTACTGTCACCATTGTTGATACTGTGTTCAAAGTTTTCATCTCTGGACTTGATTCCTCAAATTTTTTTGATGCACTCCCATCTATTAATATCTTTTGCTGTAACTTGTCCAAAATACAGCTGCCTGCACCGAGTCCTTTTTCTATCGCTGTTGTCATCCAACATATTTATTTAAAATATTTGTCCACATTTTCTCAGTGCAACCATACCCTTTTGTCCAGGAGCTTTCCTTCAAGACCTTTACCTTCTCAAGTGTTTTAATCCTGTCACTTTACTTGCATTCTCCTCCTCTCATCTAGGTATTGGTGACAGAGTCTTGAACTTGCATTTGGCAAGTCTCCTGAAGTTCCTTCACCTTGAAACCCTTATTCTTAAGCTGTCCTTCATTTCTCATGCTCCACAAATGTGGTGCCCTTTCCTTATTTTCTTTCTGTAATTTGTTAATTTTGTACATTAACATGACTACAAAAATGCATAATTATCTGAAGTATTTTATTGAGGACATTTGAGATGTAGTTAAAATGTTTAATTATTTACTTGCAGACAAAAATGGATCATTTTGAGGAAGACCTAACATGTTCTGTATGCTACTCCATCTTTGAAGACCCTCGTGTATTGCCTTGTTCTCACACTTTTTGCCGAACCTGTTTGGAAAACATTGTTCATGAATCAGGAAATTTGTCCATTTGGCGACATCTTCGAATCCCACTAAAATGTCCTACTTGTAGAAGTATTGTGGAACTTCCCCCAGTGGGCATAAGCTCATTACCAATAAACTTTTCACTGATGGGAATTATTGAGAAATACCAGAAAGAGGAACATCCAAACACTCCAACCTGCACAGAGCACTTCAGGCAACCTTTAAACATGTTCTGTTTGTTGGACCGTAAATTGGTATGCGGTTATTGCTTGACAGTGGGCCATCATCAAGGCCATCCCATTGATGATCTCCAGAATGCTTATATTAAAGAAAAGGAAACATGTAGCAAACTTATTGAACAACTGACTGAAAAACACTGGGCCAAAATATCGATTTTCATTGAACAACTGGAACATCAGAAATCACAAATGGAACAAACCATTCAACAAGAAGAAGAAATCGTCATCCAGTATTTTGAGAATCTGCAAAAAATAGTGGAAAGCAAAAAACGAGCTTTTCTGGTTACTTTTGATGAGGTCAACGTAAGAATTACCAGTGAGTATGTTCCATTAATTCAGAAAATGCAAAATCTAAAGGAAGAACAACATGACCTTCTAACATCTAGTACGTACTTGGAAGATGAAAAGGATCCTTTGATTTTCCTTGAGAAAGTTCATATCTACCGTCAGAGGGTGAATAATTTAATGAAAACCCAGCTTCCTTTTATTCGGCCATTGAATATACAACCACGAGCAGGACAATTTCTGA